TTATTTGTAAAGTGTGTGATCTCTCAAAGTCATCATAATGAAATGGAAGAAAGACTTTTTGGAGCCAATTAACTATTTTCTAGATCTGCATTATTGCTAATTTGATTTCGTGACGTTTAACCTCTGACCTATCTTTATTTGTAATTTGCAGTAAAGCACATACTTTCTCTTCCCTTTTTCTTTTCGAGGTTGCATTATGTTTCACCACATAAACTTTCTGTTGAATTATAAAAATTTGAATTCATTACCTTACTTTTATATAGGTACTATATCTTTCCTTTTTCTTTCTTTTCTTCAGATAGGTATTCAATTTTTTTTTTCTTCGTCTAATCTTCCAAAAACTTACAAATTACTTTGCTTAGAGACACGGGATACTAACTTGATTCAAGCTCTAGTTTTTGTTTTTGTCCTTTTTTTTATTTTCTTTTTTCCTTTTCCTTCTATTCAAGCTCTAGTTAGTTTTACAACCCATAGGAGGATTTTTATCAATTTTTTTAAGATAACGATTGATATATATTCTGATTTAACACATTACATAATATATTTATTAAAAAATTATTATTATTTAATTTAAAATGAAAAGCAAACAAAAATTATGCATTAAAGATATAAGAACTAATTAAATTAATTATATTTATAGTATATCTTAATAACTAAATTAAAATAAATGTTAAAAAGCATGTTAAACTGAATATATACTGCTCATTAGTTTTTTTTTTTTTTTTTATTGTCATATGGCCACCATCCAGATGCAGCAGCAGGACTGTTGCAACCACTAATTATAGTACTCTAGTTGAATCAAAGTCAAGAAATTGAACAGGTTGGTTGGAGATTGTATTTCACGTTATTACCCACCATAATGTGTGAACCAGTCTCTTCTTTTCTCTTTAAAAAGCAGTCAATTAATGGTTGGAAATTTTTGTCCCAATATATTTACACTTGGTCGAGATCCAAGAATGTAAAAAGGAAGCCACAACCCACCAAAACTAACAGTATAAAGAAGCAAACTAAAAAAATGCAAACAGCCAACGACCTAATTAAATAATTCTACTTTCACTGAAAATAAGAGGTCCTGAATTCAATTCGTATGGTATTCGGATGAAATGAGAGAAAAAATGAGAGAAAATTGCCATCCATTGTGCAATCAATATAAAAAAAAAAAATGAACAACCAAACAACCTCCTATTAAAATTCTTTAAATGAAAATAATATAATTACTACATGTTCACTAATTGTTGAGAACATAAGAAATTTTATTACTAGTTTTGTTTTAGATTAAGATAAAATATTTAAATAGTTCATCTGGCATAAAATTGCCGACCCTAAATTATTCTAAACTCAGATTAAACAGCTTACTACATTATCATCTACCTAATTTATGATACACCCTTTATTTTGCGTTGAATGATTATCTTAATTATTGTCTTGGATTTATTAACATTTAGAAGTGAACAAAGGGTCGTGAATGTGAAACTATTAAGATGGACCACATATTTCGTGTCCCAAACGCGGTGTATGTTAGAAAAGTCAAAAAATCATTTCAAGGTTAAGTGCAAAGTAATTTTAACCAAAATGTGACTTTTCAGCCCACTTTTGCTACCTTTAATCATGGACTAGGTTTCTATGCATCTTCCCCTATCTATCATTGCACACATTTTCATTGAAATGTATGGGCATAACTGTCTACCATGGAACAATTTTGTTATTAAAATATGGTTGACTTACAATTTGAGGGTCTTCTAAAATATTTACAATGAAATAGTTGAAAATCAATTGGCCATGGGATATGACTGTTAGTTGGCACAGATATTGCATAATTAAATATCCAATGGAACATATTTATCTAAGGGAGTTGAGCACTGATTTTCATGTAAATTATTTGAGGAAAGTCAGACAAAGAGAAGTGACCAACTGTTAAAGTTTTGAAAAATCTCAAGAAAAGTTACATATACATTAGTATTTTTCTTTGTTTAGGTAGTGAAGTTGATACCAGTCACACACAATCATATCAAGTAATGAAATTCATCTTACTCCGTCTGTCCTCGAGTGATAAATTTTTTAACTTAAAATTTATTTCACATTAATTATTATTTTTTTATATTTTTTAAAAA